AAACAGATACCCCCAGACAGGGTGCTATTAGTGTCTTTCGGAGTAATGCACTGCTTAGCCACTCGTCTCACATATTTAAGACAACACCTCCTAACGTAAAAACGACCTAATGCGGAGATTAGTCACTAGAACAGTCAAAAACTCGAACTTACCGAAATGGTTCTGTCTGTAAATTAACAATCCGGTGATTTTTTTGGAGCTTTTTAGAGCCGCGTGAATCTAACGGCTACCAGAAAGACTGCTATTTCAACCGGCCAGAAAACTGCATTTTAAACAAGACCAGGCAGACTTTAGTGACGTCATACGCACTACGACGGCTATTCCAACTAATGACATTCTGCCTATGCACGCCACATCAACCTGCATTTATGAGTTTACTGGTAGACGCGAATGCAAATAAACTGAGCGCACGCAAAGGCAGTTGGCAACTCGGTCACCTGAAAATGTGCCGAAATGGCTGCTAAGGGCGGAAAATAAGGTGCCTTGGTGTTTAATTGCGAAGCACCTAGTGGCCGCTGACCATACGGTGAACCCAATGATTGCATTTGAGATCGTACTTCGCTGTAATATGGACAAAAATACAACTGTGTAAGCATATGGATCACGTGATCCACCTCGGACTGCTGTGGTAGGGATCGATAGTGGACGTAACCCACATTCTCTTTCCCGTCTTTTCATTCTTGCCCCCTCCCTCACATGACCGGCTACTGTCCCGCGCGTTATAGTTCTAATCACACTTGACAGGCTTTCACTGTAAACTTTACTAGGTTGCATAGATAACGTTCCTCCTTCCCCCTCATCGTACGCAACCGCATATCAGATCAACATGCTTCATCCTCCTAGGCCGATATTTAATGGGACAGCCTAAGTAATAAGGAACGACCGTACGCAGTTGAATAAGAGGTCACAAAATTCTACGACGACACTAAATTCTGCGTACTTCATTGCCTATGTCTTTTTCAAACTCTTCCTGCGAAAATAGTGTTTCATTTGGAGTCCCAACAAAACCTTGTTTCAGAAATGGTGGATGATGAGGTGATCGATGCGCAGTCACATCCTCACCAACGAATGTCGATCCCTACCAGTTGATCTCGGGAGTTTGTAGAGCAAGGATTTAGCACCCCTCCCCGCTATTGTTGGTGCTAAATTGACTTCTACGCGAAACATCGTCGACAAAGGGGAAGGCGACCGAAAGGAACACTCTTGGCTTAGTGACTGTCGTCAGTAGACTATGTCGCGAGCCAGAATGACTCCAGGATTCGAGTCCAAGCTGATACTTGAGTACCATAATACAAAGCTTGATTAACAAGTACACGCCCTTGCCGTTTGTGATCAGTCACGTGCGAGTGAAGTCAACAGACTTAGCCCAATTCCACAAAAGAAGAGCATCTAAGACAGAAGTCGACAGGACTGCGAAAAGGATTTTCTACCATAAATACGCAGAAATTAACTAGAGCGTGAGCGATGGCTTATGTGACAGCACCCTAAACTTAACCACTAAGTGAAACAGAATTAAAGTTTTCTCAGCCAAGAAGTTTAGGTGTGACTGACTGACTGACTGACTGACTGACTGACTGAC